CACATAAAATCTGAAGCATTAATTGGGGGACTGGGGACGCACCAGAATAAAGTTTAGGAAACACTACACTAAAACTTATGATTGCCTCTGCTAATCTTGTTAATTTGGAAGGAATATTTCCAAAATAGAAAGTTTTGTTTTGATATTCTATCCACAAAGGATAACAACAATGATGTTGGGTGCATTTAGAAGGCAATCCAATAAACATGCATCAACTGAAAAACATGGAAAGTATTTTCCTTTGTATGGTGTCAAATTTCTGCAAACGATGCAATGAAGTAGCCATCGCATTTATTTAAAGCACTGTCCCAAACAATGGTGAATTTATATGGATTATGCATTTGTATCCAATCTTTTTGCGCTGTCTGTTCTCAACTAGTATGGCAGTCGAGCTTTTACAAATTGCCCCAATATCCTGTTCGATAGAGATGAACATTTCTGCAGATTTTTCTCTCCTGGTTGTTTCTTGCTGCTGTTAAACATAACTGGATCAACTGAATTCCACTTCCTAAATTCCTCAGTGCTGCTGATTCCTCAGCCATCCTACGCTATCACTTCCCAACTGACGATGTCATTATTTGAATCATTGATGGTATAGGCTTACTGACGTTGCCTTCATATCGCATCTCTGACAATCTGCTGCCAGACTCTACAAACAAGTAATCCGAATACACTTTATTGCAATATTCTTGTTCCTGCCGTTCTCAGCTTTTCCTCCTCAAATTTCTTAGTCTGACTCTTAATCCAGCACAGTGGTATCAAAAAGGCTGTTACTTATTTTTGGCAATGGTATCACCCAGGCACATTCAAAATAATTTCCAGAACTTAACCATTCTCTACAAAGTTTTGCAGATTTGCTTAGGAAATAATTGAATATTTAATATTGTAAAGCTAATGCAGTTTATAATCAGCAGGCCAAGCAGCATCAGAGGAGCAGGAAGGCTGACGTTTCGGGCCTAGACCCTTCTTCAGAAATTGGGGAGGGGAAGGGGGTTCTGAAATAAATAGGGAGAGAGGGGGAGGCGGATAGAAGATGGATAGAGGAGAAGATAGGTGGAGAGGA